TTCTGAGCGCCACGTGAATTAGTCGATGCAGCACATACTCTTTGGAAGGAACCAACTGTAATGATTGCATGTGTTCTTGTCGCTAGATTACAGATATCGAGACAAATAAAATAGCGCACACGGTCTAACCAGTGAGTCACGTGTATAATGATTACAAATTTCTAATTGTTACGCCATATTTATCGTGATGCTTACAAGAAGTGCACAACTTGATTAGTTATGAAAGTATATGTGTCTCACATGACTTAGTTAACAAAGAAGATACTATTTAAACTGAATCACAAGTAATAATTGCATGTTTCTAGTCGCTATACCACATTAATTGTGAGGACAATACAATAGTACAGAGTCTAGTTAATGAGTCACATATAAATGTAACTAGTTTCTGCACGTACTTTGCATGTGTATCTTATATTGAAATATGGAAACTTACAATTTTTTTTAAATGTACGTTTGTTTTTCTTTTCATAATTGTGTGTAGCATTTGACTTAGTGTAAATATCGAATGATTGCATGTTTCTAGTAGTTACATTATAATTATCGTGAAGGTATAGTTTAATTCGTTATGAGAGTACCTGATCTTCACATGAAATAGTCCAAGAATTAAATATTGATTGATCTGAACCACTTGAAATGACGGCATGTTTCTAGTCGCCATACCACATTTATTGTTTAGCTAATACCTTAATGCATAGTTTAGCCAACAACCATCTGTAATTATAATGATTCTTACTTGCTATAGTTTCTTTATTCTGATATTCATATGATAGTGTGCACAACTTGGCAGCCAGCTATAAAAGTCTTTGTGCTTCGTGTAAATTAGCTTACACAAAAGATTCTCTTTAGAATGACAATTTGTAATAATCGCACATGTTTTAGTCGTTATGCTACATTTATCATGAGGTCAATAATATAATAGTGCATAGTTTAGCTAATGAACCATATGTATTTATAATGGTTGCATATTTCCAACTGTTGCATCACATTTTGCATGACACCAATATAGTAGCAGACAATTTAGTTAGATATGGAAGTATTTGGGCGTCACGCGAATTTTAGTTGATGAAACAAATACTTTTTTCAAATGAACCACTTTAATGATTGTATATGTTCTTGTCTCTACATTAGATAAATTGTAAGACCAATATAATAATGCACAATCTAATCAATGAGCCACATGTATGTGCAATGATTATAAATTTTTAGTAATAATTGCACGTGTTTTAGCCGCTAGGCTACCTTTATCGTAAGACCAATAGTATAATAGTCCATAGTCTAGCTAGTGAACTATATGTATTTGTAATGATTGCATATTTCTAACTATTACATCATATTTACCAAGACGCCAATATAGTAGCAATCAATTTAGTCAGATAAAAGAATTTCTGAGTGTCACGTAAATTAGTCAATGAAGCACACACTCTTTAAAAGGAACAACATGTAATACGTATATGTGTTCTTGCTGCTACACTACATATATCGCAAGACTAATACAATAGTGCACAGTCTAGCCAATGAGTCACATGTATGTGTAATGATTACAAATTTCTAGTTGCTACATCATATTTAAAGTGATGCCAATAGGAAATGCACAACATAATTAGTTATGAAAGTATGTGTTCCTCACGTGACTTAGCTGACAAAGAAGATACTCTTTAACTGAATCACATGTAATAATTGCATGTTTCTAGTCGTTATACCACATTTATTGCAAGGGCAATATAATAGTTCAGAGTCTAGCGAATGAGTCACCTGTATTTTTAATATAAAAAAAAAGAGTCACCTATATTTGTAACTAGTACGTACTTTGCATGTGTATCTTATATTGAAATATGGACACTTACGTAAAACAAAATTTAAAAATGTACTTTTGTCTTTTTTTTTTTTTTCCATAATTGGGTGTAGCATTTGAGTTAGTGTAAATATCGAATGAATGCATATTTCTAATCGTTACATTATAATTATCGTGAAGGTATAGTCTGACTCGTTATAAGAGTACCTGGTCTTCACATGAAGTAGTCGATGAATTAAATATTAATTGATCTGAACCACCAGAAATGATGGCATATTTCTAGTCGCCATACCACATTTCTTGTTTGGCTAATACCTTAATGCATAGTTTAACCAATGAACCGTCTACATTTATAACAGTTGCAGATTCCTACTTGCTATTTTTTCTTTATCCTAGTATTCATATGAAAGTATGCACAGTCTGACAACCAGCTATGAAAGTACATGTGCCTCACGTGAATTAGCTTACAAAAGATTCTTTTTAGAATGAACCGTTTGTAATAATTGCACGTGTTTTAATCGTTATGCTATATATATATATATATATATATATATATATATATATATATATATATATATATATATATATATATATTGAGGCAAATAGTATAATAATGCATAGTTCATTGTAATAATTGCACGTGTTTTAGTCGTTATGCTATATCTATCGTGAGACCACTAGTATTATAGTGCATAGTCTAGCTAATGATCCGTCTGTATTTATCATGATTGCATATTTTTAACTGTTGAATCACATTTATCATGATTGTATATTTTTAACTGTTGAACCACATTTATCATGATGCCAATATAGTAGCAAACAATTTAGTCAGATATGAAAGTAACTGGTCGTCACGTAAGCTAGTTGATGAAGTAAATACTTATTGAAATGAACCACATGTAATGATTGCATGGCTTCATGTCACTACATTACATATAACATGAGACCATTATAGTAGCACATAGTCCAGCCAATGAGCCATATGTATATGTAATGATTTACAAATTTCTAATCGCTACACCATGTTTATCGTGATACTAATAAGAAGCGCATAACCTAATTAGTTATGAAAATATGTGCGCCTCATGTAATAATTGCATGATTCTACTCGCTATATCACATTTTTTGTGAGGGCAACACTGTAATGCAGATTCTAGCTAATGAGTCATATGTATTTGTAATTAATTTTTGACACGTATATTCTATATTAGTTAATATGAACTTTTTAAAATATAAATATTAATAAAATATGTGCGATTTTTTTTCTTTAAAAAAAAAGATATAAGCTCGAGATAAATAAGAGCTTATATCTATTTTATATTCATGTTTACACACAATTAACAAGCACATAAATACAATAAGCGATAAAAGTAAAAGAAAAAAAATGAGAGTACAGTAAAAAAAAAAAATGCATAATGAGCGGCAACAAAAATTATACTAACTTCCAAAAAATATGTTTTCACTATAAGATATACTCATGTTCACATCAAGTAAATAAAATTACATATGAAGCAATAATACTACATCAAAATATAACAAAAATATGAGGAATATAATAAAAAAAGTCACCAAACAAACTAATATGGTATCAAATGGAATGAGAAAATCAGTTGTGCGCATTAAAAATCAATTGAAAAAAAATCGTGCTATCAACCGAAGGAAGAAATTTGACAATTTTTTTAGTCTTTCTTATAAATTGTAATCCCAAAATTCATGCTACATTGTTTGCAAATAGTACTTAATATGGATTTATACAAATATATTGCTGCAATGCAATTCAAAAATATCAAATACATTAAGTTTTATTTTAATAAAAGTAGATAAAAGATTTAGCTACATTATTACAATATTACTCCATAAAGTACTTCATCAATTTTAGATTTTTGTTTTTGTAAGTTTGTCCGGAAGAATTCCAATAAGAGTAGATGAAAGGACTTGACTGCAATATTATTTATTTATTACTCCATAAAGTATTACTTTTTTATATGTTTATCGTGAAGATTTATATCTCTAAGAAATAATATTTATCAGTAAGATATATATTTATATATTTATATCAAAATATTACAGGTTCAATCACGTAAAAAAAACTTAAGATTTGCAGAATTTTTTTAATCTGTATTTTTATTTATTATTGTTTAAGAAATAAGTTAATTTTAGCAGTATAAAATCCCACCAATTTTTGATGAGTATGTAATTCTTTTTTTTTTTTAACTTAATGATTTTTTTTTTGCTTACTCGTGCCTTTATGTAATTTAAATACTACATTATCAAATTAGATATTTAATAAGGAATTAATTAAATGAAGTAAAAAATTCATCACACATTTATGTAATTAAAATGATATAGTATTTAATATTTAAACAATTATATATTTTATAACATTTTAATTTACAGAGGAACAAAAACGTAGTCCAAATTTAAAGTTAAGAGCTTTCCATTTATTATATAATGTGATGGTGATTGCAGTTTTTTTTTTATTGCTACACCATATTTACCGTAATGCCAAAACGATAGTGTAAAACCTCATAAATTAGATGACGAAGAAGATACCTATATTTATACATTTTTTTACATGAGATTATTTAGATTCTAAGAAGTAACTTTTCATAACAAGTTTAGTAAATAAAATTACTAGAAATGAGAAAAAAATGATTATATTATAGCCTAGAATCAAGATATATGACATTAATAAGGTAAGGTTTTCTTGAATTTAAGTTATATATATCGATAGTATAATGAATTTCTTATATTATCGGTATAAGTGCACTCATTACTACAACTTAACATTGAAATAGACTATTTATTTACCACAAAATCCAAGCGCTAATTTTCAAATAAAATGAAAAATCATTCCAAAAAAAAGTAAACAATTATTATGACCAAGTAGGTCCTTAATAAGTAATTATTACAAGTATTTATTCCCCTTGTTCTCTTGTTTAATCCTTTTTAACATTCAAAATTCATTTCTACGACTAATTCAAATTCACATCACATACGAGATAGGATACTTACAAGCGCCTCGTACTGATCATGCTAACCAAAGGAAAAAAACATATTAGCAAGGGAAGAAACCAAAGAAAAAAGAAGAAAAAAAGACTCAATTTTTTCCTTTTTCAATGGAAGTCAAGGGTAGTGAAGGGACGAGTCATGTAAGCAACAACAACAAAACATACCTAGTGTAATTCCCCAAGTGGAGTAAACGAGTCCGTAAGCATATTGTTATTATAGGAGACAAATGTATATAACTCTAAGAAGTTGCAGACACGCAATAAATACCAAAAGTGAAAGGGGAAAGAATTGCTGCTCCACAGGTTTCAGATATACACACAATCCATGGCATAGAGCACAGTTCCTCTCCACCACATATATTTTGCACAAAATGTTACCAAACAGGTTTCTCTCCAGGAAGATATGATGGAGAATTTCCCTCTACTTGGTTTTTCTTCTTGTGGAAAATGCCACTGATACTAGGCATCAATACTTTCTTCTTTGACACTGATGTCTTTGCTTTCTGCAACTTGTGCGTTTCCATTATGTTCTCTTGTGTGTTTTGCTTCTTGGTTTCAATGGGTGAGTGCATCTTTAAATGTGATTCCATGAATTTCTCAGATGGTTTCTCCTTCTGAACTGTGTAACTTTGAGGAGATGATCTGTAGTTCATATGTGTTTCAGCAAGAATACGAGAAGCTGCCTCAGCTGCCTTCTTTTGCTCACGTTCTCGCCACCTTCTAAGCTCCCCTTCTACGGCCTTCTTGGCAGCTTCTGCCATCTCTGCCTTCTTCAAGGCTTCCTGAGTTGCAATTTTTATATAATCAATCTCCTTTTGAGTAGCCTCCAACTTCTTGAGGGCCTCATTCTCACTTGCTTTCACCGCCTCTACCTGAGCCATTGCGGCTCCCACTCTTATTTCTGCTAAATTATCAAGTTCTTCAACTTTACGGCTCAATGAGTCAAACTCATCTCTTGATAAAGTAATACGAGCACCAGCCTCAGAAGTTGAGGATCGTGCAGCTGTGGTTTTTTCAGATAAAATCTCAATTTGATCACGAGCCTCAGCCTCAGCTGATTTTGCTTCTTCAGCTTCTTCCATCGCCACTTTAAGCTTCTTTTCTGCTTCTTCAAGCGCCATTCTAGTGGCTTCAGCTTCATTCTTTAACTCTTCTGCTTGCATATTCATCTCTTCAGCTTCAAGCTTTGCATTTTCAGTCTCCAAGGTCAGCTGGTGGAGAGTGGAGATCATTTCTTCAGAAGCACCTCTTGCTTTGGCTTCTTCTGCAACTGCTACTTCAAGCTCAGATTTGGCTTTCCGGAGCTTGACATGCAGACCCCCAGCAAGTGATTCTGTCTCTGCCTCCTTCTCCTTCAGATCAGAATGTTCTTTCTTGACATTCTCCAGGTCCAGTTTAAGGGTCTCCACCAAGGTTTGGAGAGTACTCTCTTCTTCTGCGACCTTAAGTAGTGATTCCTTAGCATCATCCAGCTCTGCAGTGACAACTTTCACCGTATCAAGGTCAGAAGACTTCGCACTGTCCATTTCTTTCCTCAAAGCTTCAATTTCAGACATTGTTTCAGCTAACTGTGCTTCAAGACTCTTGGCTAAATCTGCATCCGTCTCTTTCTTCAAAGCAAGTAACTTCTCTGCTGACTCTTCAAGTTTAGCCTTGTAGGACTGCTTCTGGACATTCTTTTCAGCATAAATCTTTGCCTCCTCTTCCTGCTCCTGCACACAAGCAAGTTTTAGTTGATCAACCGACTCGTGGACAGCTGCTATTTCCTTGGAGAGCTCACTAGCTCTTTCCATATTTGCTTTGGCAGTACGCTCAGCTTCTGCTGCCTGCTCAATAGCGCCAGTTTTTTCTTCCATAAATGTATTGCAATCCTGGCGGATTTTCCTCAGCTCTTGTTTTGCTTTATCAAGATCAGCTATTTCAGCCATATACTTTTCTCTTGCAGTTTCCAGATCCACTTTCCAAGAACCATCCTTCCCCATAACAGAGCCATCATTTGGTGCTTCAAGTTGGTTCACCTGACTCTTTGCTGCTTCTGTCGCCTTGACAGCCAAATCCTTTGACTCGCAAACAATTTTAAGCTTTTTGGTGAGGTCATCAACGGTCCGTTTTGCCCTTTCGAGCTCCGTAAGTGCTTGGGCTCTAGTGGTTTCTGCATTTTTCAACTGTTCCTTCAACTTGTTCAGCTCTTTCTGGGCTAAGTGAAGCCGTGTTTCCTTTGCCAGTACCCTCTGAAATCAAGACAAGATAAGGGTACTTAGGTGAGGCTATTTTATTGCAGTCTCAGAACACTAACCAATCCTTAGGTGTAAATACTTTTGCATTCATGCACTCCTGAGAGCACCTGATTACATGTTACATTCAGTACTCAAAAGACTCAAGTATGAGCGTATTTACCATTTAGTGAAAAAGTTCTGAAACTCTAAAATGAAGCACCAAATAATTATGAACACTTCGAAGTCATTAAACACCATGTGAAAACATTTGAACAATCAAAGAAAGAAGATGCTTCAAAGACACATACACCAGAAAAAAGTTCGATGAATAGATGGAGATGCATGCACGCACAAATTTCTATGACAACATGACTTACTTGATGTAATAGACAAATTACAAGTATTTGTTAGACAAAAGGAAACTTTGCTTAGATGTCCATTCTCCAACTTTTCTTTGTTTCGATCTTGGAAATAGGAGAGGGAGAACAAAGCTCAATAAGGTATTAATTCAATCTTAATCATAAAACGAATGTTTAGCACAAACAATGCAGATAAAATGTCATAATAAAAACACCAAGCTTCTCCATTCAGGCTAACGATATACATTTTGAACCACAGTATTATTTACCTCTGCAGACTGAGGTCTTGGCTTCCTGATTGCAGGTTTTTCCCCTGAGAATGCACCTTCCCCAAACAAGTTAACAGCATCTTTGACAGACTGAAATGGTGCACTTGTATCTATCTCCCCAACTTGTACTTTTGGAGATCCAGTAGGTTTCTTACGGTCTTTTGAAACCATATTTTAATCTTTTAAACAGAATCGCCTACCAACAAAAAGCAAAGAAAAGTTTACTGAAAGTGACCAAAAACACAGACGGAATTTCAACATTGTGGATAAGAGTAGCACAGAAGCTTGATATACCAGTTTACAAGTGGTCATCATGCAATACAAGCTAGGTATATTTAACATCAGCGTCCTCCTTTTACTTGAAATGCTTTAACCTTTTTTTTTATAAGAATTTGAAAATCTTAATGATGGATTGCGAATAGCTGCCTAGGCATTTATTATAAGAAACAGATGTCTTTCTGAGTGCACAGAAGCAAATACCTCTACAACCATTATTGACAATGTATGCTAAGCCAAAAATGTAGACATTTTCACTCTCTAAGGTCACAATAAACATACAGAAAGACGCTCCTTTTTGTCACACTGAGGGGAGTAGGTTGTTTTCGACTTCTTCTTTCATTTAAATAATGGTCACGTTATGTCATACTCAGAGAGCTGTATGTACACATGACTTGAAAGTGGGGAGGGGGTGATATGTCTATGAAATGCACTTCATTCCTCAAAATTAATCACTCTAATCTCCAATTCTAGCCACTGCAAGCGCAAGCTATCCACCGACTAAAAACCTTCAAGTAATTCCTATATGACAAAAAGATAATTGGCTTGAAATGTCAGAGGAGAATAGCCAAACACTCATGTTAAACATTATTGACTCAAGGATATTCAAAGAGAGTTATGTTACTGTACTTTCAAATTAAAAGGAACAACTATATTGAGCTCTGCTTCGCTGTATCTGAGGGTGCGGAAGATTAAGATGTCAATATCCCATTGCAGCAGTTGTCTCTACCACGACATACAAATGCAAGTATCTCATTGAAGCTCTCTTTAGGAATTTTAACTATCAAATTGGCCTAATCAAAATTTTCATTGCTTGCCAACAGACCAAGGTGTTCCTGTGACAGGTCCCTTTTCATATCTTGTTTAAAAAGAGTTGGATTGTAATATACTAGCAAATCGTGACAAGCTTAGATCAGACTAGATGAGAGTTATTGTAAGGTCTAACACACACCATTTCTATTTTGCACTAAACGGCAAGGAAAATCATAATTTGTTATAATCCGACCTTCCCCTGGATATAGTTAAGTTTAGATGTAACATCAACTAAAAACTACACATTAAATACAATCCAGAAAATTTTCAAACTAGAACTAAGTTTCTCTAGGTGTATACAGAATGATGGGTTGTGAATAGCTGCCTAGGCATTCATTATTGGAAGTGAAACAAAAAGATCGAAACAGACGTCATTTTGAGTGCAGAGAAACAAACACCTCTACAAACATCCCTGACAATGCATGCTAAGCCAAAAATGTAAACATTTTCACTCTCTAAGGTCACAAAAAAACATATACAGTAACACCTTTCGACTTTTTTTTAGGTAAACAAAATTTGAAATCTGTTAAAAGGGAAGCGATCAAACCATTTCAGTGCATTAAATGATTAAATTGCAGGTGTACATACACATATTCTTATACAACTTAACAATTCGAAGGTGTTAAGAAATACACAAAATTAAAAAAACAGGACAATTGTTCAATCTGAAACCCAAAAGAAATTTAAAAACAACTCAAAAAGATAGTCATTACATTTCTCAATTACAATTTACCCAATAGTATAATAGCAACTACCAAGAACCAAATTCTACCCACCAAGTCTAATAAAGACTTCAACTTTTAACCCTTCTTCAACAACAAATACAACAACAACAACAATAACAGGCAAGCAAAAGGGTAAAAGAGGAAAAAGGGCTTACCTAAATGATGAAAAGCCCTAATCATCCATAAACCCTAGAAATCATCAATCTTTCAACTCCCAAAAGGGTTGATACACAGCAGCAAATTCTCAGAAATAGGCAAAAGTGGTTGACCAAAAATCTTCCAAAAAGTCAATCTTTCAACCAATCAACACAAACCCACAAACCAAAAAGCAAAAAAAAACTGCCCCAAATACTCAAAGACTGTCTTTTTTTTACCTAAACCCTCAATAGCTAAGTATAAAAGAAGAGAAAAGGCAATTCCTTTGAAGGGGAAAACACTATTTGGTTAGTGAAACTATGAAAAGAGGGAAAATTGAGATATGGGCAGTTGCAATAAGCAAAAACAAAGAAAAAATTCAAACAGTAAAGACAAGGAATCTTGAATTGAGAGATGGTTTGAAAGTTTTACAAAAAGCTAAAGTAAAAAAAAACTGTATGTTGAAAGACAAATATAATGTATACTACTACTATGAGCTAATCAGAGAGGAAAGAGAGAAAGAGAAAAGACAAGTCCAAGTCAGCAAAATGGCACCGTCCAAAGCTGACTCTGTCTTTGAGCACGCAAAGGGAAGAACCACAAAGATGAAGGAGAAAAAAGAGGCTTTTTTTATTCGATATCTCGCACTTATATTAAAATTTGATTAAATTTAACTTGATTTCAAAAAGTTTAACATAGGAGGTGCTTACATTGGGGTAAAGCACAAAGATGATTATGTATCTGACTCAAACTTGAGACCTCTAAATAAAGATAAAGGGTATCAATTCATCATAATCCTTGCTAGTGAGGTATGGGTCGCTTCATCACAACAATAGGAGGTGCTTCCTAAGAAAAATGATTTCACACGTAAGAGATTCAAATCTAAAACTTTTGATTAAGAATGAAGAGGTACTTACTCGTTACCACTTGATTATAATAATAGAAGGTATTTTCTAACAAAAATGACTTTACATATAAAAGACTCAAATTTAAAATCTTTTATTAAAAATAAAAAGATACTTACCACTCCATAACAATAATAGAAAGTACTATTTCATAATAAAAACAACCCCACATATACAAAAGACTCAATCTATTACAATTACTAGAGAAAGATTTGGTAATTATCACTCAATACTACTTACCATACATAGGAAAAAGTATTACTCTATTTTCTATGGTTAAAATTAAAAAAATTAGATAACAATTAACAATACACATTATTTAGTTTTCCTAATTTGATGTTCGAGAACATTCCAATTAATTCCGTAGGGATCATGACTTGTGAACCAGGTAGCTAAATTACCTTAGACACATAAAAAATTCACCTATTTTCTTCGATTTAACTTGTTTTTCTTGCTTTTTGAAATTTTTTAATTTTAACTTTTTTTTAAAATATGATATATTTAAAATTATAAGATTAAAAAAAATACTTTTTACATCATTTTAGCTTAAGATCATAAAATTTAGAAATTTTATTTACTTTCTTAAATTTTATATCAAGTCTAAATCTAGTAAACAAAAATGAAAAAAATATTATTTTTAGCTCAACTCAAATTTACACTTGAACTTCATAATTTTTAATTTACTTTATTAATTGTTATGTCACATCCTCGGATACTTAGTGATAAAAGTATGACATAATACATAAACAAGATCCTTAACTTGGCTTCGGTGGACAACTATGCCTTCCAACTTTGAGTGTGTACAAATAGACACTTAAACTTATATACAATTGAACAAGTAGACACACATGTCCTAAATGACATAATACACATAAAATGTCACGTAGGACACAAAAAATCCATGTAGGGTGCCATGTAGGACGAATGTGTCCATTTGTTTAATTTTATACAAATTTAAATGTCTACTTGTACACATTCAAAGTTAAAAGTCATAATTGCAAGCTGACATCAAGTTAAGGGTCATGTTTTTATTTATTATGCCTAAAGGTATATTAGCATATTACCATACATGTGTCGTATATGCATTTGATGCAATATACACACCATGTGCAAGTAAATTGTTCATATGTAGGTACTACCTAGACTATAAGTTAGGTTTACACCCCACCCCCTTAACTATTAGGAGTTTTTTTCTTCCTTTTTTTGGTTTGATTTGATTTTCCTCTAATTTGTGAGGTCCCAATCAATTTAAAGTTACATTACAAAAGGTAATTAAAAAGAGACACTCTTTATTAGGATATTTTTTTGGATATTAGTGGTGTTGAGAATATCCCACTACACATGGGAACTAAACAAGTTTAACTTGAATTATTGAAAAAGATTGCAAGATAATACAAAATGTGTTGATACTAGATAAGATAAGATAGGATCCTCTTATTTTACTTATACTTTAATTAGAAAAAAAGGTTGTACAAGTTGTAATTTGCGACATGTAAGCTTGTAAATGAATTGTTTATCTAGTCACTTTCATTTTTCTAATTTGTCAAATGTTAAAGACTTAAAAAAAAAGTGCTTAATTAATCTCAAAAAGTTAATTTGTCCCTACTTGATGATCATAATTGAGGTGACCCAGAAATATATTTTGAATACAAATTTTTTTTTACTTTTTTTTTTATTTTTATATTTGATAGATTATATTAAAATTCGATTAAATTCAAATTAGGACCAAAAAGTCTTATATCATAACTCATAAGATAAAAAATTCCTTAAAAAAAAAATGATTTCATATTCAAGGGCTCGAACTTAAAATCTTTGAATAAGGATAAATGATTCTTATCACTCAAATCACGACAATATTTATCTAATCGTAGCTATATATGTGCACTTGCCCCGCTACTATCAAATGTAACTTAGCTCAAATCACATTTTTAAGCTAAGTTACGTTAATAAATGAATGAGTCAATATTCAAACAAAAATAATTTACAATTTTATGGACTAATTTCATCATCTCTACGTGCCTCAATCCGGGTCGGATCCAAACCAAAACAGATTTATCATCCCATCTAAAAATGTGCCACCTCATTTGGAAAATCATGACAGCTCACCGTGTTATTACACACGTGTCATGCTGAGTCATCATCAAACCGCCTTTGAAATAGATAATTCCCTCTTCATAAATACATTAATTCCACAAACAAAAAAATAATAATTAATTTTCCCCCAAAACATAGTCATGGCGACGGAGAAAGTGGCGGAGCACGGCGGCGATCACCGGGAACACGATCTGATATTATCGAACCTCGAACGAGCGATTAAAGAAGAAGAGCAAGTTGAACGAGAACTCGATGTGAACGAATTATCGCGGTTGTGTCAATTACACGGCAAAGGTATTCCGGCGAGTCAAGGGTTGGATCAGAGGAAAGCTACGGTGGAAATTTGTGAATTTGATGATGACGGGTCGGGTCAATTGGCTGAGAAATGTAAAACTATGTATCAACAAGCTGATCACTTTAGGTGTCACAAGTGAATATTAATAATACTCGAACGGTGTTTTTAGTAGATCAGTTGATTGATTTATTTTAACTTTTCATATATGCTTGTAATTCCTAGCGTAGCATGCATGTTGATTAATTAATTTAATTTATGATGATTTTTCAATTAAATGCGTTGTTTTTCACTCAAAATTTATTTTTGTTCATATAAAAAAACACTTTTGTTTGGATGACTATGGTGGATTGTTTTATAATGTGTTGTGTTAGTATTGTTGTATGAATATAACATTTAGATTAATTGTATCATAGTTGTATGTGATTGTATCGTTCTTCATCGTTACATAATATTCATGTTCAGGATATAAATGATAAATCTACAAGCAATTATAGGGCAGGATGGAGGTATTATGAAATGGTAGAATAAATGATAAAATAAAATTATTTAATAATAAATAAAGACGGTGGAGTAAAATGATAAAATCAAAATAATAAGTAAACGATAAAAGGAGAAGAAGATATTAAAGTAATGATACGATTATTGAATCAGTAATTAATGATATGGTATAATAAAACTTAAATAATAATTAAAAAAATATTATATTTGAATTAATAATATAATATAAACGGATAATAACTATCAAAACAAGATATAAGTCGGTCTTTATGTTTTTTCGTAGAATTTGAGAGTTAAAATCATTATCAAAGTTTCACATCGAAATGTTCATGACCAAAATTATAATTTTATATTGCACGGTCCAAATAAGAACTCCATCATGTGTTTTATTTTTTGAAAGTCTCAAAAGAAAAAGTTCACCAACCATCTAGTTGTTAAATAATTTTGGCCTTTTGGGGTCCATTTATGAGTATGGTCGTTCATACTTCCAATTTTTTTTGTTTTGTTTTAGTTTTATCCGCTACATAATTTATAAAAATAAAAAGATTTTTATATTTAGTTAATTTTAAATTAAAAACATATACAGTATATTAAAATGTTTTTATTTGAAAATTTGAAGAGTTGTTAAATTTAAGAAAGAGACATCTTATTTGAAAATAAATTACGTAAAACGCAGTGATTACTATTTTGTTAAATGTAGAGGACAAAACTGTCGTAGTCACATGGAAACCTCCACCATATATTTTATTTTTTATTTGAGCAACTAGTGGCGACCAACTATTTGGGAATCTTACTTTTTTTCAGTGTAACATAACATGATTAAACTTTTAAAATTTTACTTACTTTAAGAAGTATTTTATATATAAAAAAAATATGTTGGAAATCTACACAAAAAATAAAATTGTGTTTGATAAATTACTTTATTACAATAACTTATATTTTTTCAGCTTTTGAAAAATAATATTTGCTAATATTCAAAAACATTACAACTTTTTATGTTTCAAATTGATTGTCAAACTTGGTACTAAGTTTTAGAAAGTAAAATTTATTTTAAAGGTATCAAAATATCTTTTAATTTTATATATTTTAAATATTTATAGATGAAAAGAGGTCGAGGTCCGAAATAAACAGTAATAATTAATCATTTCGAGTTGCCATAGTTGAATTCGTGCAAAATCATCCAAACGTCACCACAAACGTAAGGATTTCTCTTTGTTAATGCAAAAATATATTTAAATAACTATTATATATATAAGATAGAGGAAGATAATCCTCAAAGAGAGAGCCATAAGTCATATGGAAAAGTTGAAGTATGAGCCTTTATTTGAGACAAAGAAGGGAAAGGGAAGGATATTATATAGGCTATTTGCAACTTCACTTTTTTGTGGGATTATTTTGATTTGGTTTTATAGACTTTGTAATATACCAAATTCAGGTGAAAATGGTAGATATGTTTGGATTGGAATGCTTGGAGCTGAACTATGGTATAGTTTTTACTGGTTCCTCACTCAGTCTGTTCGTTGGAACAGAATTTATCGTCATACATTTCGAGATAGGCTCTTGATGAGGTATGTTATATATTACGATCTCATCTAAAAGTATAATCTATTAGATTGAGATTTAGTGAATTTGTGATGATTCATATAGTTGATTTCGACTTGTTTAGGAGTTGTAGTAGTTGTTGTTGTTGTTGTTAGTTGAGATGATTAGCACTTGTTTATTATGATGACATGAGTTGACTTTTAAATGATTCATGTAGTCGAACCCAATTTGTTTGGGACTGAGGCATAATTGTTGTTTTTTATTGAGTTGAGCACTTGTTTGTAATGATGACATGAGATGAGTTTAAATGAATAAGTAATGATCTGATTCTTATAGCCGATCTCGATTTGTTTGGGTTTGAGGTGTAGTTGTTGTTGTTTGTTGATTTGTGACGATGATATGAGTTGAGCTTAAATGAAGCAGTGGGGACTCATATAGTCGATCCAGACTTGTTTGGGATTGAGGCGTAGTTGTTGTTGTTGTTTACTGATCAGCTAAGAACTCCTTTATGATGACGACATAGTAACTTATTTGTGCTTGAGGTGTACTAGTTGTTGTTGTTTATTGAGCTAAGCACTCATTTATGATGATGACATAAGTCGAGCTTGAATGAAGCGGTGGAGATTCATATAGTCGACCCCAACTTGTGTTGGGACTAAGGTGTAGTTGTTGCTGTAGTTTATTGAGCAGAGTACTTGTTTATTCATTTAATTATATTTTCAACGCGCCCCTCATATAAAGGCCTGATACAGGTTTTTCAATTAAGAGTGCACGTGGAATTTCAGAACCAAATTGTTTGCTCTTAATTAAACAAGTTGAATTGTGTGATCTTCTCGTGTAAACATTTGAACTGTTAGATATAACAAAACACTTGTTATTCATTTAACTACATTATCAACTTGTCTTTCATGGATCAAACACGCAAAAGAAAAATTTAAATGGTAGTGGAGGTGGAATTAGAACTCAAAACATTGCCTGCTATAGTGCCATGTTGAATTGTGTGACGATCTCGTCTAAAAGTTTAAGTTCAAGGTGTTAGAGAGAACATAGTTTTGTTAACATTTATTATGTATTGTTGAATGAAAATAGGTACGAGAATGAGTTGCCGAGAGTTGATATATTCGTGTGCACAGCTGATCCTGTAATAGAGCCACCAATTATGGTGATCAATACAGTTTTATCAGTCTTGGCTTACCAATTATCCACCAGTAAAGCTCAGTGTTTATCTCTCGGATGATGCTGGTTCCGAGCTTACCTTTTATGCCTTGCTAGAAGCTTCTCGCTTTGCAAAGCATTGGCTTCCTTATTGCAAAAAGTTCAACGTTGAGCCGAGGTCTCCTGCTGCCTATTTTGCATCTTTGTCTGTTTCGGATCAATCTGATGCAGATTTTTCCAAAATGAAGGTACTCCATTTGTTCCCGTTTATATGACATGAACTTTTATATAGTTTGTTTCAGAAAGAAAGACGCGTTCATGCTCTTATAGTCATAGAATTATCATGGCATGTTTAAGACCTTAAAATTCTGAAGATGCTTTCGGTATGTGCCAAAAGTCCATCTTTCTTTTTTAAACTCCGGTATTCAATCAAATACTCTTATTTCAAGATTTGCCAGCTCTTTAAAGAATTTATTTTGTTTATCAAAACTTATTTGATCCAAAACTGTTGAATGTCAAGCATAAATGCTGAGGTATATATATGGATTTTGATTGCCAACGTCTTTTCTCAACACTGCAGGGATTATACGAGGAGATGGCAAACAAAATTGACGTTGTATGCAAGGCTGGGACAGTCTCAGATCAAGCAAAATTAGAATACAAAGGATTTTCCAAATGGAATTCATATTCATCCAAGAAAAACCATGCTGCTATCTTGCAGGTACAAAAAAGTAACAAAAATATTGGTTCAAGTTAGGCTATGTACTCGTTCCGTATGTTTAGAGAGATTCAACAATTTATTTATACACAATTTTTTTTATAATTTTTCGATGAAGGGGATTCAATTGAATGTTTGAATCACCTTTTTGTTTAAGGTAGCTCTGCTGTTGACTATCACATTATGGATAGAATAACTGCAACTTTACATATCTGATATCTTATATGTCTGCTTTCATTCACGTACTAGATACTAAACGACAGCAGAGACGAAGAGACAAAGGACGTTGATAGGGTAAGACTGCCAACGTTGGTCTATGTGGCTCGGGAGAAGCATCCTGAGCACTTCCATAATTTCAAAGCCGGGGCGATGAATGCATTGGTAAGTCTAGTACCAGTTGCTCATCACATAAGTGAAATCTTGAATAAACCTGTGGATGATTTTGTTGATTACAATGTTCAGCTCAGGGTGTCCTCAGAGATCAGCAATGCGCCAGTAATTCTGAATGTAGATTGTGATATGTACTCGAACAACTCAAACGCGATTCAAGATGCTCTTTGCTTTTTTATGGATGAAGAAAGAAGTCGTGAAATTGCTTTCGTGCAATTTCCACAATCTTTCGGAAATGCCACTAAAAATGAAGTTTATGGTTCTCTGAGAGTAATTGATGAGGTTAGTACACTGTACATCTCTATTTGGTTTTATGGTGTTGATGAATATTCATTGCTGAAATTTTCGTATCGTTACTTTTATGTCAACTTAAGGTGGAATTCCACGGTGCTGATGGTTACGGAGGCCCTTTGTATACTGGAACTGGCTGCTTTCATAGGAGAGACACCCTTTACGGTAGAGAGTATAGCACGGAAGCTAGGATTGATTTGAAGAGTGCATGTCCTGAGAAGATGGAAGAAAACGTGCACGAGTTAGAAGAAAGACTAGAAAGATTAGCTAGTTCAACGTACGACCTAAACACTCAATGGGGAAATGAGGTATGTCCATCTGCATTTCAAATTTTAGATGAGATAGTCACACAGTTTAGCAACTGACTCGTAGTGAACTTTATTAACATGGCAGATTGGTTTGAAGTATGGCTGCCCAGTCGAAGATGTACTGACCGGGTTGACAATTAAGTGTAAAGGTTGGAAGTCTGTTTATTATCGTCCGAAAAGGGATGCCTTCGTAGGGGTTACTGCAACGACGTTGGATCAGATATTAGTGCAACATAAGAGATGGTCCGAGGGCGATTTAATGATTCTGTTTTCCAAGTATAGCCCTGTTTGGTATGGACTTGGAAAGCTCAATCCTGGCCTTGTGTTGGGATATCTCATTTACTGCCTCTGGTCTCCGAATTGCTGGGCAACTCTGTACTACTCTATCGTCCCTTCGTTTTGTCTACTCAAAGGAATTCCCCTATTTCCACAGGTATTTTTTGCCTCTTTATCATCACATTTTCTTAACAAACATAAAACTAGCACTAAAAGCACATTGCGAGCAGAATCACTGGTCTACAAAAGAAATTTGACAAATTTTGCTTTTGGTCTTAACTTTCAGGTCTCCAGCAAATGGTTCTTGCCATTTGCATATGTGGTAATCGCGGAACTAATATATAGTTTTGCTGAGTTCCTGTGGAGTGGCGGAACAATTCTTGGATGGTGGAATGAACAAAGAATATGGCTTTACAAGAGAACAAGCTCCTACATGTTTGCCTTTCTTGATACAATGTTGAAGTTATTTGGTTCTTCCAATACAACATTCATAGTCACTCCAAAAGTCACTAATGATGATGTGTTGTTGAGATACAAACAAGAGAAAATGGAATTTGGAAGTGCTTCACCTATGCTTACAATTTTGTCAACATTGGCAATGATCAATCTTTTTTGCCTAATGGGGTTGGTGAAAAATTTGATATTAACAAGAGTATTGGGATTGGAATATGTATTTGAAACTATGGCTTTGCAAATTTTGCTTTGTGGGGTTCTTGTTTTTGTTAACTTGCCTTTGTATAATGCTCTCTTCTTTAGGCAAGATAAGGGGAAAATACCTAGTTCCACTGCATTTCAGTCAGTTGGTTTTGCACTTTCTGTTTGTACATGTATTGCATATATGTAATTGTCAGATGAAATAGGGATACGTGGTTTCCTTATATGACCTTGGACAATGCTCTTCTTATGATTCCTAGCATAGAAAGCATGTTGAATAATTAATTTACGACGATTTTCAATTCAATGCATTGTTTTTTACTCAAATTATTTATTCATATATTTTTAAAAAAGAACAAACTAATTAATACACGACAGACATTATAATTGACCTCAACCTCAATAGCTAGTTAACACTAGCTCCAATTTACTTTGAAAGCGTACAACTAAGTTTCATATTTAAATGCTCATGATCAAAATTATGATTTTATATTACACGTTTAAATGGAAACTATGACTAACTGTTGGAGCGAATTGGATGATCGGCTGAGGGCTGCCCCCTCTTCCCCTTCACTCTCCTTTCAAAATGTAGAGGACAAAACTGTCGTAGTCACATGGAGACCTCCACCATATATATTTTATACTAGCCCAACAATCGGCAATTAATTAAATTATATGTCGTTTGTAACAAAAGATTATAACACATCTTTTTGCTTTCTGATAGTCTCCCTTTATATTAGTAAAGTAAAGATAAGACAAGCCTTCAATGCCACAAAGTTAATCTAACCGAGATCTGAACATATGCACAAATTAATCTAAGGTTTACATATATAAGTCTTGTATGATCTATTCTAACAGCATATGCATTTGCTACTGCTATATCAGTGTAGGTGATCAACTATTTAGTTTTAAACAGAAAACTATCAAGCCTGTTTCCACTTTGTTGTATTGTAGATGGAGACAATATGATCAGCACAACTGAAACACTGAGGGTTGTTTGGTTGGGAACAACTTATCCCGGGATTAGCTATCCTGGGATAACTTATCCCACCATGTATATGGGATAACTTATCCCACCATGTATATGGGATAACTTATCCCATCACTATGATATAAATGGTGGAATAAGTTACCCCAAACATAGCAACCAAACAAGATACAAATTTTTTATCGCATCACTATTTATTTTTATCCCTCACACCAAACGACCCCGAAGGTGAAACAAAACACAGAGAAAAATATTTACTGTAATAAGAAGATTATATAAGTCGAATAAGAAAGACAGCATCATATAACTTTGATAAAAACATCAAAGAGGAGTTACTCTGAAAATCTGCCATCACCTGAGAAGACGAAAGAAATTAACTAAATAAAAAATGAAAAAACTTTAAGTTTATACAACTACATGATGGCTTCTCTGAGCCGCGGTAAAAGAAAACCACCCAAAGCCATAGGCTTATAGACACATAAGAGAACTTGTATCAGCTAATAGATAACATCTAAAAATGACAATATAATCAGAATGTTAACTTCATTCTTTGCTAGTCTTCTGTATCGTACAACCAGTTCTTATAGCCATCAAACATAATTGTCCTGCTACAAAGATACATATTATCTTTGACGAATCGAACCAGGCGTGATAAAATTACTTACTATTGCATTCTTCATCAAAAAGCTTCATTAGTTTTGCTCATTGTCACATTTATTTAAGGAGATTTTTCTAGTCAGGTGGCATCAATCTATACAATCTGCATTTTCTAGCCCTTTTATAGCATGTGTTTATTAAATTTTAATCATTTTATGATTCCTATTATCTCTTGTAACTTTTCTATATTTTTCACTGAATATTTTCCAAGGAAAAAAGCATGAAGAAAAAAACTAAAGTAATGTTTGAATTGAGTATAACATTGATTAATGTTAATGTGTGTTTATATGTTGAAACTTGATATTTATGAATTATAGCTACAATATATATCACAAACAAAAACTTACAACATGTACACCTGAATAAATTATAAAGAAAAAAATGGTAAGAGAGCAATACTTACCACACCCTGAAATACTACACAAAGGCAGGAACATATAAACCACAGCAGACAGCAAAAGGCAAGACAGTCGGATCATAATTAACATTCTATTGCAGAGAAAGCGAAAGAACATAACTATAAAAAAGCTAAACAAGAATAGATGAAACAAAAGCTTACATTGGATTCAAGTTCAGCCAAAGGATGGGAAGTTGTACTAAATGAAGCTTTAATACCATCATCAACATCTTTTAACACCTTTTCAGAACATCTAGAACCAAAAGAGGTGTCGAGAAATGGAACGAATGTATTACCTGCTAAGGCTTCTTCAAGCAATGGTTGATATTTAGAATTTTAAGCAACCTCACAAACAAAGTCAGTACAACTCATGTCTAATACTGCTGCTAACAACATTAACTATGACACTTTCACCTTGTCATCGTCATTGCCATCTTCAATGCCTTCCAAGAAAGTCAAGATCCAGATTCCAGAACAATATCAAGAAATGGTCCAAATAGTGGTTGGAATATGGTATTATTCGAAGCAACCCCACAAACAAAAGCATCACCTACCACCTCTAACAATGTTAGCAACTTTAGTTCTTTCTACTTAAACGAATTGTATAATCAAAATTCATTGACATTGTTTTCAAATAGTGTCCTAAAACTAATTTCTAATATGAATAACTATAATCAAATTCCAGTATTGAAACCAACTAACCATTACAATCCATTTTTACCAGACACATCAAAAGAACAACCTGCAACGCCAAACATGGGTACCAACACAGCCGCAAGCATGTTCTCATCAACACTTTTGCCTACATCTCAAGCAGCTATAACAACATTCAGTGGTCAGAATTCTACCTCAGCAGTGCAGAGTGATTTGAATTAAGATCCATTTGGGACGTTTTTGAGTTGCGATTAGACACTAATTGAGAGTCTGAATCAAAAGGATTTTTCGGATAAACAACAGTTATCATTACAGAACCAAAATAAGATCATAGCTAAGCATGTCTTAAATTTTCTCCTGTCAGCTTAGATGCCAATTTTGATATTTAAGTTTCCTTTTTTGCTTTTATTCTTAGTTTTGATCTTGCACTTTTCACTGTGACAGTAAAAATATCAAGGAAAATCGTATTAAATCAAAGTTCCCTTCAACCCAAAATTTCCCATTAATAGACGGAGAAATGTCACCATAGAATGAACACAACAAATAAGAAAATTTAAGATGAAAATAGCAGGAAAAGAAGAAAGATTTGAGCAAAAGTTGAGAGGAAATCATACCTCAAAATAGTAAGATATTCTTGAAAGTACTCCTTTATTTTCTTGGAATACAAATCAAGTCTAACTCTCTTTGTGTAATCCGGTGTCTATTCAATATGATGAGCATTCCATATAATCTCAAATTATAATCAGGGGAAAAAAACAGACCCACAGAAGTAGGCGTCAGAAAATTTCATACATTTTAGAGCTATGAGAAGCATGAAATATTGTCTTTGCCCTTTACGTTGCACTAAAGATAACTTTTTATCTGCTTTGCATTCGTAATACAACTTTAAGGTTCTATTTCACAAATGTACTAATCTTAATAGTATCAAGAACATCGGATAGGCTGTGATTTTAGGTAAACATGAACAACATTTAACGTAAATGGACTCTTTTCTCTTATCAGTCAAAGGTGTATTTTATTTTTCCCACTTAAACGCAAAATGTAATGAAGGGTTGGAGTCCTTACAAAACAAATGTATAAATTAGGAAGTCCAGAATTTTTGTGCAGAAATGCAAGAACTATAATATTAATTATAGGCCTACGACTAAGAAAAACTTCCTCAAAAGACATAACAATTAAGTATAGACAACACAACAAAGAATTCTTATATTAGTTAAAATAAGTTTCACCTTATTGGCAAATTACTTGGAATCAGTTGTTGAAACAATCAGCGATTACACTCTTTAAGAATATATCGACATATTGAAACACTTCGCAAAAGCAACTCACACAGATTATCTTTACATGAATTGATGGTGAGAGAATCAAATAGACAATAGTCCACAGTAATGTTCTGTAAACATATGTGTGGACTTAAGGACTATAATTTTTGTTACTTGTTATCAATGCAACAGAAAAATTACTCTCAAGTCTCTCAAAGAGCACAATATCAATATTCATCAAAAACTAAGTTTAATTGAGCTAGTGTAAGCTATTATTAATTTACGTACACTAACTATCATATTAATGCTCAAGAGGAAAAATTATGAATATACTACATGTTAATTATGGTCCAAGACAATAATTATGGTGGACAGAATTACCTGAAACTTGTGTATTGGAGGAACAATAGTTCCCTTTCCATAAAGGTAAGACTTTGACAACTTCCAATACTATATTAGAAGCAACTCCTTGATTCTATTAAATACAATCACAACAGTGTAATAACATGGTAAAACATAGCTACTTATGATCTTGCACATGATAACTAAAAGCAGAAGTCATAAACATTACACACACGGAACAAAATTTAGGCAAAATTAATGATGAAATGGGAATTACTTGAAGCATAGTTATTGATTGTCCTATCTAGATATATTTTGATTTAGTTGTTAGAAGTCGGTTAGGCACGTGTAGTTAGTTACCAGCTGTGTATAAGCCTATATACTCTACAGTGTGTATCTTTGTAACACAATTCATTCTTTTAGTAATAAAAAGTTTCAGTTTCCTCTCATTGCTTAGCTCTCTCAAATAGCTAACAATGGTGTTTGAGAACTGTTTACATACAGAATTCATCAATTGATATCTAACATTTTAGATCGCTCAACTGAGAAAATTGAAAAAAAAAGGCTGAAAAAGATTAACAAAAGAAAGGAATTCAATGTTGAAGAAAGAACAAGCATGAGTCTAAGTATGAACTTGATAAGTTTGAAAGAGAACAGAAAGAAAATGATAGCGATAAAAACTTACCGGAAACTTTAACAGAAGAAGACCAAAGTAAGCAATCCTATTCTAAGTTGGAACAGAAGATGTCTTTCTATTTATTTTGTTGGAACAGAGGAGACCCGATTCTTCTAGAAGTATATTAGAAAAGTAAGAAAGTTTTTTTATCAAGCAAAATGACTCTTTTGCCCTTGGTCGTCCTGGTTGGCTTCACTCTTCTATATAATATATA